AGGGAAAGGGGTTCAGTGAGAGGGACGGCAGGCATGATGAGGGATAGGGGTTCAGTGGAGGGTTGGAGGCTCAGCTAGGGGACAGAAGACAAAGTCTGGGGATGGTGGGAGAGGACACACACTGTAGGAATGGTCTTAGTCTATTCCTAGGCTCCATTGCTCGGCTCTCATTCTCTCTCAGATAAGTTCAAAGAGAGGAGACTGCACCTTCATTAAGCTGTGAGTTCAGCCTTTGCTGAGAATGGAATCCGAGGCACATCTGGGTCCCCTCGGGCCACAGCCTCACCCACAAGGGCCAGGGAGCATCTTAAGCAGCTGAGCTAAAATAAAACTTACACTGACAACAAAAATCCTTCCTTCCCCATGTCAGTGCATTCACTGCTCTGCCCACTTGGACACTTCCCCAAACATGCTGTGTCTTTCCTGTCAACTGCTTCCCTCAGCCCTGGCCTTGGGAAGCTCCCTCTGGCTAGTCTTCTCTTCCTATTACTGGGAGGCTTCCCCTCTTCCCCCACCCCAGGGCTTCCCTGTTTCAAATCCTACCCATATTGGGGGTAGTCCTGCTTTGAATGGGACCAGTGCCACTTCCCTCTCCCCTTCCCCAATGGCAACTGTCTGCTTGTCCCACTGTCCATCTCTAAAGTGTCTAACTCCAACAATTGCTGTCTACCAAACTAAAAATAGAAATATTTTCAGAGAACAACTGTATCTCCTAAACGGATGTTCCTGTAGGCAATGGGGAGGCAACAGCAAGGAATAGAGATGGTACTGTTCTAGGGAGTAGGAGTCCTGGGTGTTCAGGCCTGCCTAATAATTTACTGTGGCACTGTTGGCAAATTACTTCCCTTTTCTCAGTTTCAGTTTCCTTATCTGTAAAATGGGGAGATTTGACTAAATGATCTCAAAGATCCCTTCCAGCTCTAAAGATTTAATGATTCCACTCCTAACTCTCCTGCCATCTCATTTTGGGACTCATTTAAACCTCAATTTCCTTATTTGTGAGATTGGGTTAATACTACCTGCAGCCTCCTGTTTCCCAGGAAGCTCCTCCCCTGCACCCCAGTACTTCATCTACCCCCTCTCTTTGTTGGGTTTTGCAGCACCTGTGGTGACAGGCACGGGACCGAACTTCTCCCTGGGCGAGTTACAAGGGCACCTGGCCTATGACCTGAATCCTGCCAGCACGGGCATGAGAAGAACACTGCCCAGCACCTCCTCCAGTGGGTATGTTCCCACCCCAGGCACTTTGTCAGGGAGAAGCCAGGAAGAAACCCTCGACTACAGAAGGCAGCAAGGGGTAGCAGGGGCAGTGCTCAACTTCAGATCAAGAGACCTGGGTTTGAATCCCAGCTTTGCATTGACTAGCAATTGGGTCCCCACACAAGTCACTTAACAACTATGAGTCACAGTCATCTCATCTGTGAAAGGGCGATGATACTATGCTCTCTATCTCACAGGGTTGTTGAGAGATCAAAACAAGATAATGTACATAAAATGATAAGCCATCATATATCAGTATATAGTCATATATAAATAGGTATCATCATTGTCCCAGCTCTGCCATTATCTTCCTACGTGTCTTCCCTGAGCCTCATTTTCCTTCTTTGTAAAATAAGGAGGTTGGACTAGATGGTCTCCAACCATGTCCCTCCTAGCTCTGACATTCCATAATTCTACAGTGTACTATATGTCATGTAAAGAGCCCAGAAATTGAGAATCACTTTTTAATACTGACTTGGGCTCGGACAAGTCTCTTCCCTTCCCTGGCCTCAGTTTCCTCGTTAATACTGACTCTGCCACTTAGTACATGTGTAACTTTGGGTAATCCATTCACTTTCTGAGCCTCAAATTTACTCATCTATAAAATGGGTATAATTCCTGCCCTTCCTCCTTCAAGGGACTGTTCTGTAGTTCAAATAAAGGAATAGATGGGAAAGTGATTTATGTACTGTGCAGATGTGAGGGGTTATTATTACTTCAAGGGTCTGTGATTACAGACCTTGTTTTTATTGCTATTATTCTTCCACTGATGCCCTCCTCTGGTGTCTCATCATTTGAGAATGAAGGAAAAACAACAACATGGGACCTACCTCTCAAAGACCATGTCAGTGAAGCATGAAGTCCCCTGACAGGTCCTATCATGCTGGAAAGGCTTTGAGGATGGACCCAGCCACAGACTGTGTCTCTTATATGAGGACCAGTTTCATGAACAAAGAACCTCATTACCACTAGGCAATTAATATCTTTTGACCATAGAAACTCATTAAACTGCTTGCTAAGGCCTGCAGAAGGGCTATGATGACAAAATTTTGGATTCTTAAAGAATTGAAACCTAGGATAACCCACACCCAGTACCCCCATTCCTCCTACAGAAAGGTTATGTGGGCTCCCAAACCTGTAGCCACACCATAACACATGCATGGTATGAGTGTCCCAGAGCATCAACAGGCTCCCCATTGCATTCCCCAACCCCAGGGATATACCATTCTTTTCCAATGGTGCAGTGGAAATAATGTCGTTTTTGGTGTAAAAGGTCCTTGTCGAAAATCCTGGCTCTGCCACTTACTATTTAACCTGTGTGACCATCAAAAAGTCACTTGACCCCTCTGGGCTTCAGTTTCCCTAACTGTAAAATGAGGGGTTGGATCAGATAGTCTCTAAGGTTTCTTCCAGCTCCAAACCTACAATCCAACGGATCCTTCCAAAGCATGGGCACAACCCAGGGGTCTCGCCTCTTACTACTGACTCATTGTGTGGGCTTGGGCGAGTCCTTCCCTTCCCTGGCCTCAGTTTCCTCATAGGTAAAATGGAAGAGGGCACTTTTCTTCCCTTTTGGGGCCTATAATTTCCCCAAATATAAAACGTAGGGGAGACCCATCTTTTCCCCTCCCTGAGCCTGTTTCATCATATGTAAAATGGGGGGGGGAGGCAAGGCCCTTCCCCTCTCTGGGCCTCTGTTTCCTCATCGAAGTAGTCTTGGGGTTCCCTCCTTCCTCCTCCAGCTCTGACATCCTTGGCTAACATTCCAGGGTTCCCATGATGCCCCTGTCACAACCGGAAGTCCGGAGTTCGATTAAACTAGCCTCACCACTCCACCCCCACCCCCAGGTCATGGGGTAACTGGACTTTGAATTTTTTTTTTCCTCTGTAGGAGCAAACGACACAAATCAGGCTCCCTGGAGGAAGACGTGGACACGAGCCCCGGCGGAGATTACTACACGTCACCCAACTCCCCGACGAGTAGCAGCCGCAACTGGACGGAGGACATGGAAGGGGGTACGTGGGGCAGGGAACCGCGGGCTAGCGGGGCCTTCTTGCGCTTCCCAGCCAGGCTGGACTACGTATCCCGATAGGCAGCGCAGCGCCGCCGTTTAGAAGGAGGCCGGAGGGCGCGCTGAGCCTCCTGGGATTGGTAGTCGCGGCTGAAGTCTTTAGGGGCGGGGTTTTGGAGGGGAGTTGCTTCTGGGAATTGTAGTTTTAGGCATACATTTCCAGACAGACTGGAGTCCCCCTATGGCCGAGTTAGGAAAGTGCGCCCCTAGTCTTGCCTTGAATTACTCCCTCCCATCCCCCCTACCCTCCCCACAATCATCCCTCATTCCCTTTTTCAGTTCTGCGGTTGTGCCTTCTCACCAGTCTGAAATGCGGCTCTTCCTCACCTCCGCTTTCACGAATCCCCAGCTTCCTTCTCTGCTGGTGCCAACTCCTCCGGGAAGTTTTCCATGATCTCCACAATCCATGTTCTCTTTTTCTGTCTCAGTCTCAGTCTCTGACCCTCTTTCTCCCTCCCTTCTTCCCTCCCTTCCTCTGTTTTCTTTCCTTTCTCTTCCTCTCCATCCTTATATTTATCTTTCTGAATATGTTTTGTCCTTCACGCTCTTTGCCAGCAGAAACTGATTTCATTTTCATCTTTGCATCATCCTCAGAGGGAAACCTATCACAGTGCCTTTTTCACATAATAAGAATTTTAAAATATTTCTTGAATTCAGTCCGTCCTGCCTCGTTCTCTGCCTCCCTTTCAATTTCCGTAGGTCCCACATAGCTGCATTTATAGGCTCCTAACTCTGGATGATGCCATTTCCATGGTACCCTATCCCTGCATGCCCCATCTCTGAATTCCCATTTCAGATTGCACCAGTGTCTGTAAGGCTCTGTCTTTAACACTTGTCTCTGAGATCCTGTCTCTGTGTGTCTCTGCGGGGTCTCTCCACTTGGGCCTTCAGCTGCTTCTATAGTTTCCCCATCTCAGAAGTCCCATTTCTCTATGTCCTCATCTCTGCAGGTACCATTCTGTATATCTGTAGGATCTTTCCACTCAGGCCTTCTGTCATCTCAGTAGTCCCCCCACAGCGTCATCTTTGACATCTCTTCCTGTAACATCTCATCTCTGTAGTGTCCCATTCCTAGGGGTCTCACTGACTTTTCATCTCCCAGTGGTCTTCCTCCAGGGGTCCTTTGCTGTTCCTTTGGATTTCCCAGAATTGCCTCTGGGGTCTTTGGTAGCCTTTTATATCAATAGTCCTCCTACAATGGTCATCCTGTCCAATCTCCCCTGCCCATGACACATCCGACCATCTATGGGGGTGAGGAACCTGCGGCCTGGAGGTCACATGCGGCCCTCTAGGTCATCAAGTGTGGCCTGCAGGCTGAAGGTTCCCCACCCCAATCTGGGAGTTGACCTCTTCATTCCCTTCCAGCTCAGACCCTAGGGATCTGCTTTGGTGAGGACATCCCCTCATCCCCAGGAAACAAGTTCATCACCTCCTCAGGCAGCTGGTGCCATTGTTGGACAACTCTCATAGCTGACAAGTTCTTAATTATGTTGTGTGACCTTGGACAAATCACCTAACCTGAAACTGAAATCTTTTTTTTTTCACTTTTAAGTTTAATCTGCATTATTATTAATATTTTCTCCATCAGTTTGAGAACTGAAATCTGATTCCTTCTAATCCTCCCTCCCCCTAGTTCTAACTGTCGTTTGCCAAGCAGAATAAATCTTTTCCCTCTTTCCCATGATAGCCCTTCAGTTATTTGTAGAGAGTGATCATATCTCCCCCAAGGCTTTTCTTTTCCAGGATAAACATTCATGGTCCCTCCAACTGATCTTTGTGTCTGCTTATATTTGCTGGTGTTTAATCCCCTCCCCATCCTGGTCACCGTTCTCTGGACATTATCCAGTTTTCAACGGTCTTCCTAAGTTGTGATACCCACACCTCTAGTTAGGGGCTGGGGGTGACTGCAGGTGAGAGAAGGGCAATAGGGTTCCATAGATGAAGACACGGATCTCATTAGCGCGGTTGGCCCAGATTAAGCTTGTGGTCAAACAAACCCCTGGCTGTTTACATGAACTACTGGTTAAGCCAGATATATCCTGTACTTGTGAAGTTGCATTTTTTTTTTTAAATAAAGTAGATTCTTAGATTCAGAGCTGAAAGGTCCGTTAAAGGATGTCTCGGACAACTCCCTTATTTTTCTGATGAGGAAACTAAGTCCCAGAAGGGTTAATTGATTTGTCCAAGATCCCACAGGCTGTAAGTAATGGAGCCAGGACTGGAAAGTCTTCAGACTCAGTCATTAAATCAGCTAGCATTCATCAAGTCCATACTATGTGCCAGGCACTGTAGTAAGATCTGGGGATACAAAGTGAGGCAAAAAAAACACCCAACCCCAAAATTCCTGTCCTGGAGGTGCTCACTTCCAAGTCCAATAGTATAGGCAACTTGCAAACAACCCCAACTCTTATGTTCTTTCCTCCAGACCACATTAGGATCTTCTATTTATCTCTATTCAATTTCACTTTGTCAGTTTCAGCCCAGAATGCCATACCCTCCAGAGAAATGTTTTAGGGTCTTGATCCTGCCATCTTTGGCATCAGCATCCCTCCTAGTTCTGTGTCTTCTGAAAATGGGACAGAGGAATCTTTAGTGAGCGTGCCTATCGGAGATGTTGGGAAAGCCGGGTCACTGTGACGTAGTGTAAAGAGTTTGGTACGTTTGGTTGGAGGACCTAGATTTGGGTGATCTTGGGTCAAGACCTTGGGAAAATCACATCATCTCTCTGAGCCTCGTTTTCCTCGTCTGTAAAATGAAGGGTCATGTTCGATGCCCTCTGCAGGCCCTTCTACCTCTAAATCTGTTTCCCCAATCCTTAAAATTTGAACCTGGTGTTTCACAGAGGGTGAAACAAATACTCCAGGAATAGAGCACTCTGACTTCCTTTGACTGGAGCGGATGCTGCCGTACTTTTAAACCTGGTCTCTTCCAAGCTTAGCGCTATAATAATTTGTCACCATCGGGCAGAGGGAATAGAAATCCCATCCATCCTCCTCTTCTCCAGCCGGCCCAGCCCCAGGGACCGGTAACCTTAGCTCCCGTCCTAGCTGAAGCAGCTCCCTCTGGAGCGTCTGAGATGATTGTGGCTGGATTGCTTTCTGGTATGCTTTTCAGCCTTCCTGTCTAGACAGCCCCAACTAGCTGTTCATTAAGAAGGGGGGAGGAGGGGGCTTAAGTTAATTAAAGTGATACTTCCCCCTCCCCCCTCATGTGATTGCTTGTCTCTAGCTTGTGATTTCCTTGCTCCCCTGGGAAGATTTCAGGCCTAGGCGTTTATCTGTCCAGCTCCCCCTCCCCCCAACTCCTTCCCTCCCCAGGCTCTTCCCTTTGAATCTTTTTTATTATTTTTTTCCCTGACTGTCCCCTCCCCACCCCAAGCATACAAGGGAAATTGATACTGAGTCTAGGATTCCAATGTAGTAGAAAGTCTCCTGGATGAGAGGTTTGGATTCTAATCCCTGCTCCCACATTGATTAGCTGGATTATTTTGGGCAAGAGTGGGTTTACCACTAAACTTCCCCTCTCAGAGCTTAGTTTCCCCATCTGTAAAATTAGGAAATTAGAAAAGATAAACTAGATGATCTTGAAGGCCCTTTCTAGCTCTGACATGTCTAAGGAGAATTCCAGTTCTAGCAGGCTATGGTTTTTACCTCTTTGTTCATAGAGAGGTAGGTTAGCGTAGTAGATAAATATTGTAGTCAAGAATATCTGGGTTCAAATCCTGCGCCAGACTGCCTAAATCCTGCTTTATTAACTGACAATGCTCGGCAAATCGCAACCCCTCTGAGCCACAGGTTCCTTATCTATAAAGCATGGATAATAATAACCACTTTTTATAGGATTGTCATGAGGCTCAAATGAGATAGTTTATGTAAAGAAAGTGTTTCACAAATCTTAGTTATAAAAACATGAACAATTATTATTATTATTATTCCATTCATAGACTTATAGCTGAAAAGGACCTTTGAGGGCTTCTAGTCTAGTCCCTTTTTCTTCTAGATGAGGAAATTGAGACCCAGGGAGATTGAGTGACATCCCACAAGTGGGAAGGGTGGGGTTTAAGCCCAGATTCATTGTTCTGTCTCCTGCACCACACTGCTTGGACCTTAATTTCCCCATTCCATTTCCAAATGTGCCTCCAACATAGGAGGTGCTGAATCAATACTTGCTGATTATTTGTTGATTAAGTAGAATGAAAAGATCATTTCCCCCCTACATACACACTGCCAAAGTCATGTTTGGGTCCCACAGAACCCCAGCCCTTCTCCACCCCCTCCTCCTAATGCTCACAGTCCAGAGGATAAGTTTCGAGGCAAGGGCAGAGAGCCAACATCCCAGCCCCAGGGGCTGGTCCTGAGCCACTAAAGCATAGCTATTTCAATCCCTGAACAAGATGTTCTAGGAAATCCTTGTAAGTGTGTGTCTGAGTGAGTTCTAACCTCATTACCTTAGCGCCACATGGCCCTAGGAGCCTGCCCGTAGCAATGATGGCAGCCATAGAACTATTGCAGGATGTTCTCCCCTCCCCCATCCACCCAGTGCTCTCACTCTCTTTCCTCGTCCCTGCCTCCTCCCTACCATCCCAGGATTCTGCTTGGGGGGAAAGCCCTGGTTTAGCTGAAGTAGTGAAGGAAAGATTAGGGAGAGGGTGAAAGCCGGGATGAGCTATCATTATGATAATGATGACTGTTATAGCTGTTAATATCCTGTATACCCTAATCAGTCTGCATCACATCAGTCTGGGCAAATAGTATTAGTGCCTACTTTATAGATGGGGAAACTGAGAGATGAAGTCCTATAGCTAGTATGTAGCAGAACTCAGCCTGGTGAGCTCTGTAAGGACAACTAGAAGAATCCTAAAGCTCAGATTTTGGAGCTGGAAGGGGCCTTAGAGATCATCTAGTCCAACATCAATCAATCAATAAACCTTCATTAAACACCTGCTATGTGCCAGGCACTTCAAAAAGAGGCAAAAGGCAGTCCCTGCCCTCAAGGAGCTTATAATCTAATGATTGTAAATGATGACAGCATCATCTGGGCCCTGGCAGAGGCCTCTCCTCTGGCCACGGAGAATGAAACCACAGCCAAGAATTCACTGCTCATTCACTGCTCCTTGCTCCTCACTGCCTCTTGGAATCCTTAGCTTCTCCTAGGTCCCATGTCAGGTGCCACTTCCTGCAGAAGCCCTTCTTGGGTCCAGGCCTTGTCTGTCACTTTCTCCTCAAATTAGATTGTATTTATCTAATTAGATATTGTTTCTCCTCCCCACCTCCCACTCCTCAAGGACAGGGACTGGATTTTCATTTTGTGTTTGTACTTTCAGCACACCTAGAGTGCCTAGCATGGTTTGTTTGTTTGTTTGTTTGTTTGGGGGGTGCTGTGTCCCTGGGATCTCACTGGTGAGAAATTCCCGGGGTGGAATGGGTGTGTCTTAGCACACATCTGTACTGTAGAGTGTCACAGAGTTGTCTGGGGGCATTGAGACACTAAGCGATTTGTACGTGGCCACACAGCTAGTATGTGTTGGGGCAGAACTTGAGGCCAGGACTTCCGTTATACCAAGGCCAACCCTTGTCCACATTGCTGCACTACCTCGCACATAATGCTTGTGAAAGGCAAGATGGATGAAAGCAGGCAGGTAGGCAGAGCCTCAAAGCCCAGCTCCCCAGGACAGAAGCCAAGAGCCCCAGCTCCTCCCGCAGATATCTCCAGATGCCTCACTCCTCAAATCCATAGTCATTGAAGTGATGATCTCTGCTTCCTCTTCACAGGAATCTCACCCACAGTGAAGAAGACCGAGATGGACAAGTCCCCCTTCAATAGCCCATCGCCTCAGGACTCACCCCGCCTCTCCAGCTACACCCAACATCACCGGCCTGTCATCGCTGTGCACAGTGGTAAGAAGGTGCACCCTGGGGCCATAGCTTGGGCCTGTGGAAGCCTCCGGCTCTGAAGACTAATGGCGTATTTAGATAACCTTAAAAATTCCACCAAAAGTAACTGAAACAAAGACGAAGCTCCAGCTGCTCCCCTCCCCAGAATTAGCCAGGGCCTCTGATCCTAAAAAGGTCATCTTCTCCCGCTTTCTTCCTCAGGCATGGTGGTGCTCAAGCCATTCCTAGGGAACCTCCAACAAGTCCCTGGGTTTCTACTCCTTCATGGGTCATGAGGGCAGCCCTTCTTGTCATCTGACTCAGATCCCTTCTATTACAGCTTCACAGGCTTCAGTCTAAGCCAGACTGGGGAGTGAGCTCAGAACTGGACTCTAGTCCACTCACCAGGAGTGGCTGGGGACAAGTCAATTGCCCTCTCTAAGGTAGAAATTTCTCCGTATGTCAAAAGAAGAGGTTGGGATCTCTTCTGTCTCTGCCCATTCCACCTCTCCCCAGTCCTGCAAATCAGACCCATGTCTCAGTAGAGGCAGTGGAATGTGGTAGAAAGAGTGTTCTCTCTGGAGTCCAAGGACCTGTATTCAGATTCTGGTTTTGTCACTTACCACTCATATGAGTGTGTGTGCGAGACTTGAGCAGTCATTTACCTGGGCCTCGGTGGCCTCATTTGTCAAGTGAAGGACTTGTAGTGGGTGCCCTCTCGGGTCCTTTCCAGTTCTGCATCCTAGGACTCATCCTGTCCAGTGTTCTGGAGCTCACAGAAGCCCCAGATATTCTACTTTGTCCCCAAGGCCCACACCACACATGACACATCTGATATATGGGGTTATTTTCACCCTGCTTGACCTCAGAGGGCAGAATTAGGACCAGGTGGGTAGCAGTTCCACCAAAGCCAAATTCTGTTCAGTATAAAGAAAGAACTCTCTAGCAGTCCAAGCTGCCCAGCAATGGAAGGGGCTGTCTTGAGAGACAGTGAGTGACCTCCCCATAGCTGGAAACATTTAAGCAGAGGCCGAGTGACTCCCTGTCCAGGCCTTGATAGAGGAAGTTCCTACTTCAGAGTGGGGATGGATTAGAAGACAGCGGAGGTCTTTTCCAAGTCTGAGATACTGTAAGTCTGTGGTAGAAAGGTTGACTGGTGCCTCCCAGGAGCCAGCACTGAGGGCCCATCCCTCTCTCTGCAGGTATCGCCCGGAGCCCTCACCCCTCCTCCACGCTGCATTTCCCAACCACCTCCATTATACCCCAGACGGCCTCCACCTACTTTCCCCACACTGCCATCCGATACCCGCCTCATCTCAACCCCCAGGACCCCCTCAAAGATCTCGTCTCCTTGGCCTGTGACCCATCCAATCAGCAGCCAGGACCGGTAAGGACCAGAGGGGTGAGAGTGGTGGGGAGGGAGGAATTGAGAAGGCATGAAGGAAGAGAGGAAGTGAGGGGCTGTTTGGAGGAGCTGCCTTCTAGGGGCCCCCCAGCATGGTACAGCAGGAAAAGCACTGGTCTAAAGAGTGGAAGGCCTGGGTTAAGTCAGTCCCCATTCTGACACTGATTGTGTGACATTGGACAAGTCACTTAACATCTCTGAAAGTCAGCTATCTCTTCTGTACCATGTGGATAATGATAATGGCCTGCTTGCCTACCTCATAGGGCTGTTGTGAGGTTCATTCAGGAATCAGGTTGTGAGCATCGAGTGCCAGAGAGAAATGTGAATGCTGTGTTCGTAGCCATAGTTTGAGGAAAGAGAGAGAACTGCCCACTAGTTGTTCTTGTTGCCCCTGAACCCCTCAGCCCTGCCCTCAGTTTTTTATGCCTTGTGAAAACACCCCACAAAGCAGTGTCTCTGTGACGTTGAGAGGGAATTCCTCCTGAGACCCACTAAACTCATAATGCCCGAGTTCCCTGCCCTGCCACTGTCCCCACTGGCCCTGGGCACCTCCCAAAGAGAACTCAGGGCCTAGGACACTCAGGCAGGCAGTGAAGCGAGGGCACAGGACTGAATACGCCTACAGACACCAAACGAGGGCAATGCCTGGGATGGTCAGTGCCAGCAGCAGGAGGTGGAGGGGGACAGCCCTGGGCACCTGGGGGGGAGGCGGGCCAAGGCCCGTGTGACTCCTGCCGCCCTTCCCCCCGGGCTCCCCTGCCTTCCCCCCTAACCACTTTGTCTCTCTGTTCCCCCCAGTTAAATGGAAGTGGTCAAGTCAAAATGCCCAGTCACTACCTTTCCACCCAGATGCTGGCACCACCACCGCCCCCAGGCATGCCCCGGCTGGCTATCTCCCCTGACACCAAATCTACCACCACAACTTCCGAGGGAGGAACCACATCGCCGACTTCACCCAGTAAGCGTGAGGGAAGCGGTGCCCGGGGCGGGGTGGGCAGCGCAGCGCAGCCGGGCACCCCTCCCTTCTCCCTGACAGCTCAGCCCTCCTTCCCCATCCCTCTGCCCCTAGTCACAATCATACCCGGGGGCTCTCAGTATCTTGAGGGCCCCAGGTAGCAGCCGGCAGAGGCAAGGTGCGGAAGGCAGCTGGTGCATAGGCCCATTCCAATGGCCAGGCACTCAGGCAGGATGAGCTTGGTGGGTCTCAGCCCCATTGGTGCTGGGCGTCTCCGTCACAAACACCACTGCAATTGATCCCCCTCCTTTCCCCACAACACCAAGGGCTGAGGTAAGCAGGGAAGAGGGCATCCTGGCATCTCTGAGAGGGAAAGGTGAGGCCAGAGGAGGCTGCCTGTGGTGTGAGGGACAGTGCTGCCTGGGCATCAAGGAGCCGGGGTTCTGGTCCTCACTCTGCCACCAACATGCATTGTGTGTACACGCCTTTGTGGAACACACGTGAGCAAACTTGGCTTCCCTTCTCTGGGCCTCAGTTCTCTTCACCTGTAAAATCAAGGGTTTGGACTAGGCGGTTACTCAGGACCCTTCCAGTTCTCCATTGGATGGCCTCTGTTCTGTCTCTTTCATTCTATGTTCTGTGTTCTAAGGTCTTCCCGGCTCATGTTCTATGTTTTGTGTTCCCTTCCAGCTCTGACCGTCTATGTTTTATATCCTAAAGTCTTTTCCATATTCATTGTGCTGTGTCTCATGTTCTGCATTCTCTGGTCCCTTCCAGCTCTGAATCCACTAATCAACCCCATACCCCTCCCCAGGCTTCATATTTAGGACCATCTGGTCACCTTACCTCCACACAGGACCTCCATCCCCCTCTTTACTTTCTGTGTCCAACCCCCTTTCCCAGACTCCATCCCACTCCCCCAAACTCCCCTGGGGGCTTCCTGTCACACTCTCAATCAAGAACTAATGAAATGAAAGGTCAGCCAGCTCCAAGTGAACTGTGCCCCTCACACACACACACACACACACACACACACACACACACACACACACACCCGTGACACAGCAGAATGTTGAGCATCTATTGCCTTGTAACCAATCCCCTGGGAAGCTTCCCTTGTCTCCTGGCTTCTCATCACTCCCCTAACCCTTGGGACAAAGGAAAGAAACCTTCATTTTCCCTCTTGGGGTCTCTGTGGAAGTGGATAAATGAAATCTAGTATGGATTCTGTAGAGCACACAGAAGCAGACATGGCCTCTTGAATTTTTGAGCCAGAACCAGAACTCGAGCCCAGGTTTCCTGACTCCCAGTCCAGTGCTGTCTCCCCCTTAGACATGGGCAGAAACTGACAGAGAATCTTGGCGTTGGAAAGGACCACTGAATGTCAGAGCTGGCAGAGGACTCAGAACACAGAACTGAGAGGGACCTTAGGACAGAACATTAGCACTGGGAGGGAGAGCTGTAGGCCTTAGAACACAGAATTGGAGAGCTGGAGCTTAGAGACTTTCTAGTTCACTCTACTATACAAAAGAAGAAACTGAGGCCCAGAGAGGGGGCGTGGCTTGCCGAAAATGATACCGTGATCTAATGGCAGAAGAGGGGCAAGACCCTAGGTCTCCTGCCCCCCAAAACAGCATTCTTTCCACTTTGCCATGCTGCCTCTTACTCTTCCTAACAGAGCCCCATCCTGACTCTGCTCAAACTTAACAAAAGCCTGGGTGAAAGCTCTCTCCCTTGCCCCGCCCCCGGCTCTCAGACTTCCCCTTCCAATACCTTGACCCCCACAATCTGTCCCACCAACCCCTGGTCCCAGCCTGTCTGAGGCTGGCTTCCCCAGGCAGCGTCCGGGAGTGAATTATTTACTCACCGATGAAATTTAATCGCCTATATTAAAATATATGTGTGGATGCAAACACACACCCATCCCTATGCACTTGCATAGAGGAAAATTAATAAATAAAATGTACTCAATTATTCATAGAGCCCGGAGAGGGATGCAGGTCCAGGCATCAGAAGGGGAGGGGTAAGGGAGATGGGTGGGCAAGGGAAGCAGCTGAATAATTCACAAGTAGTTATGAATTATGAAATTTTTATCCTCTCCCTGTTCTCATTCACTGACCCAGGAGGTCCCTTAGATGGATGGGGGGATAGAGAGAAATGATTGCTACACCAGCATACCCCACGTGGTGGCACTGTGCAAGGTGATTTCCCCCCCTCCCCTTTTATTCCCCCCCCCCATAACACACACGTCCTGGGAACATGTTGAAGGCTTTTTTGGGTGTGGGGGCGGTATCCCTTTGGCAAAGTTGTGTGTCAAAGCCTGAAATTTCACTGTGCCACCAGATAAAATCGTCCAAATTTAGACTCTGAGCCTGGTGAGATTGAGATCCTAGGCACTGCTGGGGGAGGACAGCTGACTCCCCAGCAGCAGGAGAGAGAGAGCGCTGGGCTTGAATGGCCTTGAGAGGGGCTCCCAGCCTCACCCCCCCACTAATGGGCTCTTGGTCTCTCTCCTTCCCGCAGCCTACTCTGCGCCCAGCACGCCCCCTGCAAACCGTCCCTTTGTGGGATTAGGACCAAGGGATCCAGGGGGGATTTATCAGGCACAGGTAAGAGCTGAGAGGGCCTGGGAGGGAGCTGGGAGCAGGGGAGTGGAGGACCTGGTCTGGGGTGGAAAATGCGGGTCAGCTCCCTTTTGTCTCCCCTTTGGGGCTCCTCAGCCACCCACTATCCAGTTTCTATGTTCCAGGTCTCTCTGGGCTCTTGGAGGTTGGGGGAACAGCTGGCCAGACGTAGACAGGGGGCTAGCCTGATTGCCAGGAAGGGTCAGATTGGGGTCTCTGCCACTCACTAGCTGTGGGGTGAGCTGGAGAAAGACAACCATAGAGTCTAAGTTTCCTCCTTGTGAAAAAGGGCAAAACTATTTCCACTGCAAGCTAGCACAGAGCTTAGGAAGCCGTAGGGGCCAATAGGAACATAAATTTTATTTTCATCATTATCATCGTCGATATTATTTATTACCCCCCCATACGGTCAGCTCTGGGGTGAGTGTGCCACCCTGACAGGGACTGGAATACCCAGCTCTTTCTAAGAACTCTGCCCACCTCCATCCAGGCTTGGGGGGGCAATGACTGCATTTGAGAGGTGAATATGCTGGTGTGTCAGGAAGGGAGGAGTCTGTAGGCAGAGACCACCACCTTCTAGTCTGGAGAGCCCTTGTCCATCTAGTACCTAGAGGCAACAGAAGGGAATAGGAAAAACACTGGACTTGAGTCAGAAGGTCTGGGTTTGAATCCTGGTCTCAACCCTTCCAAGCTGTATTACCATGGGTGAGTCACATCTGAGCCTCAGTTTCCTCACCAATGAAATGGAAAGAGGACCACTCTCGATGCCTACCTCACAGGGTTATTGTGAAGAAAGTTCTTCGTAAGCCTTCATGCACTATAGCAATATTAGCTATCATTATATTATTATTAATATTATTATTACCCAGAGGAAGGATCCTGGGCCAACCCAACCTCACTCAGCCAAACTGTGGGTGTCCCTCACCTCACAGCTGCCTGAGGCATGAAGAGGAAGATGGAATGAGTCCGGGGTTGCAGCAGCAGCAGCCTGGGGCAGCTCTCAGTCCCATATCCCAAACCTTGCCCAAATGGCAAACTAAAGCCAGCTGTTGGGCAAATCTGTGTAGGGCATGTGGGACCACAAGACAGATCATAAGACTCTGGAATTTAGAGCTAGAAGGCCAGCAAAAGCTCATTCAGTCCAACCTCCTGATTTAATAGCTAAAGAAGCTTGTCCCCAGCAAAGGAAAGTGACTTGTCCAAGATTATACAACTTAATAAGTACGAAGAGTCAGAATTTGAACGCTGTCCTCAGACTGCAGACCCAATGTGCCTTCCACTCCACCAATAACCAGGAAGGGGGACCCCTGAAGAATAGGACGGAAAGTACTGTGTTACAAAATGGTTGTTAAAAACTGAGGCAGCCAGGAATGAAAAGGCCTGATTTGGCTTGGTGTTTGGGTTTGGTTTGGTTTTGTTTTGTTTTGTTTTGTTTTGTTTTGTTTTGTTTTGTTTTGTTTTGTTTTTGGTAGCTCAGGAACACCATGCCTCAGTCTCCCCCTTCAACAGGGATGGCAAATTACTCGTAGAACCTTCAAATCCTAGGAAAAAGGGAAGAAAGGAGTGCAGGTGGTGAATAAGAAAGGCTAGAGTGTTTGCCTGGAGCAGAGAAGGGGGAAATGGGATGGAGAGGTGGGGAGCAAAGATCTTTTCTTGAGTGGAGAGGGCAGGATGGAATAGTGGAAAAAGCACTGGGTCAGAGACGAGAGAAGCAGGTGCTGCCTCGGGGTCTGTGTGACCTTGGGTAAGTCATTTTCACATCTCTAGGCTTCAGTGCCCTAGGAGGTTGGAACAGATGGTATGGAAAGTCCCTTCCAGCTTTGACATTCGATGTGGTATATTCTAATATATTTTGCTGTGTTCCAGCTCCAGCACAATGTAATAGGAAGAGTGTCGCTCTTGTAGTCAGGAGAGGGATTCCTGAATCCTGATCCTAGCCCTTACTAGCTGTGAGAATGGGGGCAAATCACTCACTTCCCTGAGCCTCAGCTTCCTTATCTGGAAAATGGGGACAGTAATGCTTGTACTGCCTATGTCATAAAGAGCTACAGAAATTTGGGGTTTTATTAGGTTCTATGTTCTAAAGGCATTCTCAGGGCAAAGGTTACTACACTTGCAGTGCTGACAATCTGTGCTCTGAAGTCTGTCCCAGCTCTGACATTCTGGGTTCTAAAGTGACTTCCAGTGCTGATATTCTATATCCCAAGGTCATTTTCAGCTTCAGCATTTTATGTTCTAAGGTCCCTCCAAGGGCCGACATTCTGTCCTCTGAAGTTCCTCCTAGCTCTGATATTCTGTGTTCAAAGGACTGTCTTAGCTCTGGCACTCTATGTTCTAAGACTCAAACCGTCTATGAGTAAGGTCTGGGAACTCGCATATGTTGGGCAAAGACTTCAGAGGGCAAGGATGACGGTACATTTATTAACGAGTGAGGTGAGATGATTTGTTTATCCACACCCTGGTGGATATGAGTAGGGGGTGGTGGAAAGGGTTAAGGCACCAGGACATTTGTGTAGGGGTTTATATATACAAAGGGTTAGGAGCTCCTGGAGCAGGAGTGGGGAACCTGCAGTCTCAAGACCATATGTAGCCCTCTAGGTCCTCAAGTGCAACCCTTTAACTGAATCCAAACTTCACAGAACAAATCCCCTTAATAAAAGGATTTGTTTTGTAAAACTTGGACTCAGTCAAAAGGCTGCACCCGAGGACCTAAAGGGCCACACGTGGCCTTGAGGTCACAAGTTCCCCACCTCTGTCCTAGAGAGATGTTTTTGGACTAGAGACACTGAGCCTACCCCCAAAACCCCAGGTCCCCAAAGGGAGAAGCCCAGATTCTAAAACTGAGCTCAGCTCCCCTTTTACAAAAGTTGACAGATCTCTGCTTTTGTAAATGCCATAGGGACAAGGGGCCAGCCATCTAGCAGCTAGTGGGACCCCAGTTTTACATTTCTTGGCTCATCGGGGACATGAGGTGAGATGACCAGCTTTCCCTACCAGCTCCCAACATCTGGGCAAAATGGCTTTTGTATCTTCCAGTTTAGGCCCTCCCCCAAAATCCTCAAAGGAACTCCATTAACAATAGCTTTGGGCCAGCCCATGGGGGTTCCCAAAGCCCAGTGTGCCAGAAACCAGACACAGCCCATCTGCAATAGTTCTAATGGGGAAATCAGAATCAAGGAGATAGGGGGGCAGTGCCAAGGGGTGAGAGCCAGCTTACCAGCTTCAGAGGCAGTAGCTGTCTACACCTGACTACCTGGGTCTCCAGAGGGATCAGAGCCTGCCTTAAGAGAAGTATGATGTTGGGTTTCTTTGCTGCCACGAGGACTTCCCTGGAGCTTTCTGCACACGTGTTTATGAAGGGGCCGTAGCCTTACGCACCCACAGGAAGCCCTGTGAGCTTTCTTTTCTCAAACTTCTTCCCCCACCACAGATACAGCTCCCACTCTCTGCCCTCTCCCCAGAAATGACAGAATGAATTGCACCAAGCTGGCCTGTTCCCCAACAGAGACTGGGGCTTCTTCTTGCCATTGAAAGGGTCAAGTGGGCAATCAAAAACCCTCCCTCAATTGGCTATAGTGACTCAATTGTTTTGTTCCAAAAAACTGACCCCTCCCCCACCCCCGCTCCCCAAATAACAGACACCTGTGGAGAGGATTGAGCCCGACACCCACTGGGTAGGTGATTCTGCTGCCTCAGTGGTCTAGGAAAGTGGAGTTTTGCAAACTAAGCAAGAAGGGCAACTGGATGAGGCTCAGGGATAGGGGCAGGGAATGAACCAGTGATTTCATTGGGTGGGGAAACTCCCTCTTACCAATACTTAGTGACTGGCCCAGGACCACACAGTGAGTATGAGTCACATCACGGCCAGTTCTCTACGATGCCATGTTGCTTCTCAAAGAGGGGAGAGAAAAACAGAATGTTTCCATGGGCTTCCAGGGCTGGTGGAGGGGAGGACAAAGAGAGGAGAGGGAATATACATCCACTGAGCCACAGAGAATATCCAGTAATAGTCAATAGCATTTATTGAGACATTTAAGCTGGAGTCTCTCTGTCTTCTCTCCATCCTCTTCAACTGCTATGTGGCCTTGCTCTAGTCTCTTTCTTTGGGGTCCCCAGCGTTCCTCATCTTGAAATTGAGGGAAATGCAGTTGTTCTCCAGAGGCCCTCCCAGGGCCCATTCTGTGATGTCTAAGTCATACCATTTCCCCCAATACTCATGATTCCCTGTGCTGAGCTGACTCAGCCTGGTTGGGGTAAAACCGTCTCCATTCTCTAGATGATCATAAGGGACAGAAATGACCCTCAGGGTTGATCCTGAGCCTGTATTTGTGAATCTCCCTCTCTCTGGTCCTCAAAGATTGGCCTTGCCCCTTTTTATCACACATAAACAGGGGGTGCCACTGTCTAGGGCTAAGAAAGACTTCAGTTCTAATGCCCCAATAAAGGGGCTTGGGAGGGAGGGGGGAGGGAAAGAGGATAGCAGGCAGGAGAGAAAAGGAGACTTAAAAGCCAAAGTTCTAGGGAATTTCAAGACCAAAATAAGGTCTGTCTTCAACTGTGTTAATATAGTACTTTGATTGACAAAGTACCTTACAAATATTTCATTTTATTCTCACAACCACCTTGGGAGATAGGAACTATTATTATTCCCACCTTACAGATGAGGAAACTGAGGCACAGAGTAACTGATTTGCTCAGGGTCACATAACCAGTAAAAGTCGGAGGCTGAATTTGAACTCAGTTTGAATAGCATATACCTTGCTGTTTTTCTAATAGCACGTGCACAGGCTTGATACAAGGAAAACATCCTCATAAATAGAACTCTGACGCCTCTCCCCTTCAGCTTCCTTTTGTGTATTGTCTTCCTCCATCTGATTGTAAGCTCCTCGAGGGCAGGGACGTCCTTTTTATTTGTATCCTCAGCACTTAGCACAGTTCTTGGTACCTACTAGGTACTTAATAAATGTTTAGTGTACCCTATCTTA